TCTCATATTGCATGCTGCTAATGTCTCGAAAAAGTACATTAACGGATGAAAAGACGCCTTTGACAGACAATTGTTGTCATTTAAAATAAAACCTATAAATAATTTAATCTTTATTTTAATAATATATATTCAATGTTGTATGTTTCCATAAGTTTATTGGGTTGAAAAAGGAAATAATTGTCTAGAATGTAACGCGTATATATATGTGTTCGCTTTCCTTCTTTTTTTTTTTACTTTTTCTTTTGTGTTCTTGACAGAGAAAAAAAAATGTCTCATGTTGTTGATATCTCTAGGTTAGATTATTACACCACCGGTGGTGAAGTTCATGTGCAAGTTGTTCGACTCTGAAAGAATGTAAATTTCTTTGGGGATACAATTGAGATGATTCTCGCTGACGATCGGGTATTTCCTTACGTAGTTGTTATTTCTTTATATATTTCATAGGGTTGTTTTTAAAAGCAATTTTTCTTTTGGATTTTACACTTGAATTTATGCGAAATCGATCTTAGGGTCATCGTATCGGCGCAACTGTCATGCCCGATGAAATCGCTCTGCATGGACATGTACTTAAACAAGGTTACTGGTTTAGGGTTCGTCGATTCGTTGTTAAGAAGGCCAGTGGTTCGATATGCATAACCGTAAACAGGCATCGGTTTATTTTCGGATCTCATACGGTCGTGATTCCTATGTCTCCAGTAACCCATAATTTGCACTTGCATCTCAATTGCATACGCTTCTTTGACATCGTGACTCGCGGATTAGATTTTGAGTTTTTAATTGGTAATATTGGTAACCATCTGTTAGTTTTGTGACAATTTTAGTATAATATATCGTTTTGTTAATATCACTTTTTTTTTGTATTCGATATAGATGTAATGGGAACCGTGTTGAAGATGGGTGATCTCTGTGAGATCAACAGCGATGCTTATGAGAACAATGCAACATATGTTCGATTTGAACTTCTTGATGCAGGGTAAGATCTATGAGTTTATATCCATATGTCGTTTGTTTATGCAAAAAAAAAAAAAACAATGTATCGTTTTGGTTTTATGCCATCTAAATTGGAAGAACCTTTTTGTTATATTTTAATCAATTAGGAGAGATTGTGTATTGCCATGTATCGCCCGTGGGAATGTGGCTAAGAATCTGCATAGTGTTTATCAGCGTAATCAAAGTGAATCAGTGGTGTTGGTGCTGAGGTTTTGGAAGATGACTAATGGTCAAGGTAGGTTTTTATTCCTCTTCTTTAGTATTTTAGAATAGCTAATCTTGCATTCTTCTAATTCTGATTCATAAAATTAATGATAGGTGTTGATAAGAATTCGGTTGTCCTATGCTCTTACCCTCCTTGCTCTGATTTCCTGTGTAATCCTGTTGATGACGAGATTGTCGATTTCAGGGCTAAGTAAGTATTAAATTTATTTTTTCTTTATTGACATATTTTGTTAGTTGATTTTTAGATATATTGATCTAACATATCGATTTCTTTTTTTTTTTGTAGGCGATACCGCCTTAACTAATGTACCATCGATGGAATGTCAATTCCTTATCTTTCTTTTTAACGTTTGTAAAACTATTATATTATGATACTTATTAAATGATATCGGTTGTTGTTTAATCTACTATTTCGGTTTGACTCTATGCATACTGCATTATGTCTTATTTATATTATGAATATTATGAATGATTATGTCTTATTTATATTATGAATGTTATGAATGATATCGTTACATTGTCTTTAGTGTTTAGAATAAATTTGTATATCAATGGTTTTGAAGTGTTTTGTCTTTTTTGGTGATGTATGGTGATTTGAAAAGTTGATTTGTAAACTATAGTCTACTCAAAGGGCTAAGTATTCATTGCGTTTTTGAAAAAATATCTGACAACTTCTGATAGATTTGAATAGATGGATATCTATAGTTTTTGATATATGTATATCTATAATATTTTGTAGATGTATATCTCCAATATACAATAAACTTAACATTTTTGATTATATATATATAATATTAATGCCTAAACCGCATGTAAACGATAAACGATTGTGTCTTGATCAATTGGACTGTAAATAAAATAAAGGAATGGATAATCAGGCATATGTCATTATTCTTAATAATGTTCTGTCAAAAAATACCGCGTGTTGGATTCTTAAAAAGTATGTCAATAACATATATAATAACTGATTTGATTCTAAATCTGTTTGATATAAACGATTTATTATGTTACATTTAAATTATATATCATCTGAGCCCAAAATTTGTATACATCTTATGGGCCAAAAAATTCCGTGTTGTAACCAAATTTGGACTCTTCCTTTAACAAATAAATTGTGATGGTCTTGAATGATTAAGAGGTTAGCCCTATAATTTATGAATATCTCAGTTATTGCCCTGATCTATTAAATTTATTAGTAATTAATAATGTTTTCAATATCAATCATATTGTTAATGTGTTATCTTAATATTTTCTAAATTTATTATGTATAATAATTCTTTCTCTAATTAAAGGGTTTTAAAATTCAAAATAATGAGAAAAAAGTCAAATAGAATTGTCAAACAAAATAAATGAAAACATCAGATGAAATAGGTAGATTCAATGGCTAGGGAAAATAGGTGAGTGATAAAAAAAGTAGTCATCTTCAATGTTGTTAAAATCATCTGTGTAGTCAAGCCAGCAAGAAAAAGATAAATAATGAATCAAATATTCAACAATTTTGTTTAGTAAATCTACAAGATGATATCGGTGAACAATGCTTACATAAAATGACAATTTTCGACTTCAGGAATTGGTGGATCGAACAATATTTCAGAGAATTCTCGACCAGAACAAACACATATTTCATCTGTACAATATAGAAAATTATATTAGCTACAATTGATATAAATATAAATTGATATATGGTTGGTCGATAGAATGAGAAATAACCTCCATATCGACACATCTCCCAAAATCTCAATACACAGAAAACGATTTTGCGACGAGGAGTATTTTTCCATAAGGACTCAAAATGTTCAGCATCTCTTCCCCACGCTATGCAATTGATGTCGACACCCCTAAAAACCAGAATTAATATATCATTTTCCTTAACATCGAGAATATGATAGTAAAGATTTATATATGTATTACTCTTTGTATCAATGGATTCTTACTCGAAATCTCTAATTGTAAATTTTAGAACACTTGAGTTGATTCTCTGATTTCCGATCCAAAATTGGTCTTGACGTTCCAATTGACAAACTTTGATAATACCTCCGATCAAATCAACTAGCATAAAGCAATATATTCATATAATTAAGTAGAGTATTAATTAATCTAATTGAGTATAATAAAATACTAAGAAAACATACCAACGTCTATGTTTTCCATCAGAGATTTGTCAAGGACACTTCTAAAATTAGCAAATGAATACAACTGGTCATCTGATTTAGGCGATGTCTTCTCAACATGAGTATCCTCATCGATACAGATATGGAGACCATTGACTGTAATCCTCGAAGTTCCCATGTGTGGAGTAATTTTGAAGTTACCAATGAAGTACCAATCTTTATCACACATCATGCCTTCATAATGGTCTACTAAACGATTCGGAATCGATGCACGTATTCGATCACCCTAGATTTTTAGTTAAAAAATAATGATGGTATTGATAATATATTAAGATTCAGACAGTATGTTATTTTTGAAGTTATACTTACATGTTCGTCTGTGAATATAAACGATCGCTGAATACCGTGAACACCTAGGCTTTCCTCGACACTCTTGATAACTTGAACACAGATAGAAGATCGATCAGATGCTATATCTAAATCTGAAATCATCGTGCAAGGAGACATTTTTTGAAAAATAGATGCAGTTATTCTTAACAATGAATATAATCTGATTACGATTAAGTAGGCCTGGGCATTCGGATATTCGGTTCGGTTTCGGGTTTAGGGTACTACTTTAAATTGAAAACCACCGTTACGACAACCAATAGTAGTGTTTGCAATGTTTTGAGAAATAACGGTCATATTTACCAGAGAAAAATGCTGAATGGGATGTTTTTAAGTTTTAAATTTGAGGAATAGGATGTTTTGAAAACCATAGAAGGAAATGACTGTTTTTACTGTTTGTCTTCCCACAAGGGCCCTTAGGCAAATTTTTTTTTTCGGAATTGCCATTATCAAAGTAAAATAACTAAAAATTCCTGATTAAATCCGATTTCGTAAACCGATTACACAAAATTATCAACCGAAGTCCAATATCATAAACCGAAGTAAAACCAAATGTATAATTTATCGACACCCCAACATTTGAAATAAAAATTTAATTTGGGATCCACATCTGGACGTCATCTATCTAGCATCTCCGGCAATCCATCTCCGATTAGCCATCCGATTTACCGTTGTAATGGCGCGGAAAGTAAAAAAATCGTTAAGGCGCAACAACACCGTGCCTCTGGTGTCGAGGCGAGTGCTCCGGAGTAACTCGAAGACAGCTCCGACGGACCACTCGCCCATGCCGCCCGTGCCACCGCGACGGAATGACCGGGTTAAACATCCCATTCACTCGAGTCGTTTGAATCCACGCCGGCGGTGTAGAGCCAAAGTACAATTCGCTCCTCTTCTTCTAGAATGGCCTGCTCAGAATTCTAAAAGTAAGTTACATTTATGAACTTCGACCTTGTCTGAACTGTACTGGCGGTTTGTAATTAAAATTAAGATTGAAACAGGGCGCTGATTGGCTTCATTTATGTATTAGCGCTTATGAACTGTAGTACTTATGTCTACATATTGATTTCAAACGGTTGGATTTCTCTTATATCATCTAGAAACAGTTACAGAAGTTTTTATAGGAGAGCATACGAATAGGGTAGTTTTCCCAGATATATGTTCTCTCTTTCGAACTCCTTCGAACTCCTTTCCCTCAAACATTTCCCCTGGGTTTGCATTTCACTGTTTATCCAGAATACTATATCTTTTCGTGCATTTCGGAATTGTTGTTTTCGTTCAAATACAGGAATGGAAGACGGAGAACCTTCAAATACAGGCATGGAAGATGGAGAAGCTTCAAATAACCTTTCGAAAAAACTACCAAAAAGAGTCCTCGGCGATGGTTGCTACCCCGTTGGTGCTCGGTTGAACATATATTCAAAGGCCAATGTAATTGGCCTCCTTGTCGAGGCGTTAAAGGGTACTGAAGATCTTGAGAAGCTACTTCATTCCCAGTTTGGGAAGTTATTCCATCTACCTGTTGTAAGATGTTGCAACAGCGCCAAACTTGTCCATGCCCTTCTATCACGACAACTTGTGACCACGAAGAAACACGAGATTTGGTTCCTCTTTGGTGGACAGCCTCTGAGATATTCGATACGGGAGTTCAAGGAAATCACTGGATTGAATTGCAATCCCGAACCTGATAGCACAGAAGAAGAAGAAGAAGTCAGAAAAACAGGAATCTGGAAAGACCTGTTCGGAAGAGCGAAGGCTATGAACGTGTATGATGTGCTTGAAATGCTAAAGGATCTGGATCTACCCCGATGGAAACGGCTTCCATTGGCCCTAATCGTTCTTGTCGACGGTGTTCTGTTTTGCAATAGCAAAAATCTGGCCCTCACCGAGAAATACGTTGAGATGTTGAGTGACTTGGATAGGTTCATGCTGTATCCATGGGGGAGGGTATCCTTTAACAAAACAGTATCTCGTTTTCAAGCTCCGAAGGCATCACGGATGCCGAGAAAAGGGAGAATCCTGTAACACGATTGCGCCGTCAACTTAAACAGAAAACCAGTGTATGCTATGGATTCCCTCTATCACTACAACTCATGGCCCTCCAATCTATACCAATGTTGGTTTCCAAAATTCCTCAACCTGATAACTTGAAGACATTCCTTGAAGATCCCGAAGGCTGTCAAAACGTTATCACACTGTTGCATCTTGGGGACATACATGCCGTGGAATCCGACCCTCTGGTAAATTATTTGTAGTATTATATTTAGTACTATTTGTAGTCTTATTTTGTAGTACTTCTCTAAAAAGATAAGTGCTCTGTCATTTTGGTTGGTAATTTTGCAATTGTATTTTTTTTTTGTCTTAGTTGTCTGTGAAACAGATGGTAGTGGATGATGGTGAGAATGACCAACAGAATGAATTGCGTTGGGGAGATGAGGTAGAGGATGCCGAAGTTGCATTCATGCAGGAACTCATGGCCGAGGGGTACAAATTCACACCTTCGGGTTTTGCAGTGGCACCGGCACCTATCGTGGATATTAGTGATGCAGAGGACGAGGTTACCAATGAACAGGAACCTGAGCCATCCACCCGACCGAAAAAGAAACAGAAAACTCATCAAACTGAAAAACGTAAGATGCAGAGGAAGAGAGGCAGGGGCAAGAACTCTTCTAATCTATCGGAAGATGAAACACCTGAAAGTGGACAGATTAAAGATCTTAAAAGATGGATAGTGTACTTCAGAATACTTTGCTCCTTCGTGAGATTAAGACCGAGTTGGACAAGAGATTGGGCGTATACCAAGAGGACGAAGAAGATGACGATGTACACCAGTCAAAAGAAGATGGGGAACAGGATGACGAAGGACAGGATACAAAAAAAGATGGTGAAAAAGCAGATGAAGATGAAGACGAAGCTGAAGATGGAGGGGCACAGTCTAGCGTACGCCATAATGATGGTGTACACCCCGAAGATGGTGTACACCAGAAAGAAAGAGATGATGAAGAAGGGACCTCTACTTACTACGGCGGGGACCATTATTCTCCCAGGGACCATGCGTACTTGAAGACTCCAGAAGCTCCGACGATGACCCCTGAACCGGGACAAGCCAATTCAGGAACAACTCGTCCACCTCTTTACTTCGTCATTCCGGATGAAATTCCACCTTCTGGCCTCAACGAGGTGAGCTAATTGTTTAGTCAGCAGCTGACTCTATTAAGTTTCATAACGTGGGTGTAATGTGCTATGTTTTTTATGACTTATTCAGGTGGATGGTGGTAGAAAAAATTTGGTGTCAGGCCCCTTAGTAGTCTACAAACCTCAGACTCCTCACCCATTGAGCTACGAATATAAGAAACATGAAGCGCAGACAGATGCGCAGGATGCACAGGTCAGACATTAAAGTTGTTCATATGATATGGATGTGTATACAGTAGTGTTTAGGTATACGCTAGGTATACAATTGATATGTTATACGCTTTATTGTTACGGTGGTTTGTAGGGTGTGGCTAATGAGGACGACTCAAATGCGGGGAAAGATTACCATACTGCGCCTGAGGATGCAAGTGATGCTTCGCAGAAGACCCCTTGTACTCCAAAACCCCCACAAGAAGTTGAGGGATCGTCTGGTGTAAGGAGAACAAGTGGAGGAACAGGAAGAGGACGAAGAGGTAGAGGAACAGGAAGAGGAGGAAGAAGTAGAGCAAAACGCCAACGTGTACGGTCAGACAAGATTCGAGATATTTCCACCGCTGATTCAAAGGTGAAAGCTTTATTTGTATCCAGATCGAAAGCTGCGTACAAACCACTCGAAACAGTTGACCAAGATCACTTCAAGGCATTTCAGGAGTTATTATCACGTGAAAGAAACATGTAAGTTATATCGTATTGAAAGCAATTTATCCTTAAACTTTCATTCTAATCAATTACCAATTGCTCTCATTACAGCGACTTTTGCATTGTCACTGGTCATACTGTGAACAATCAATTCTTCCTACAAATTGCGAAGCCTACTGAGTGGGTTAACACGATGGTAAGTATATAGTTAGTACTTACTCAATCTTTAATTATCTGTATTATATGTTATTTATGTTTTGTTTTTCGTAAGCACATGCAAGTCATAATGGCCATGCTTTGGAGACGTAGAGGTGAAATATACTTGAAAGACAGGGTAGCATTTGTAGACACCTTGTTCATATCCATCATCGGCAACTACTACAACGATTTCATATCGCGAGACAAAAACCAGTATGACTGAGGGAAAACCATTTAGGGCATTGTATTGGGAAAACCAGCAAAGTGGGCTAATCAGCGGCAGAGGCAAATGTTTGTACGGTTTGTGGACGTTGTATACGTCCCCATGAACTGGGGGTCTGAGCATTGGGTGGGCCTTGTAATTGACTTTAAAACGGGCAACATAAAGATTTTGGACTCATTCATCAGTCATAATGATGAAGCGGCTGTGGAGCAGTATATGGCGCCCGTGTGTCAAAGTATGCCATTTATATTGAAGCGTTATTTGGATAGCAAATTAACGGAAGGCCTACGCACCACCCCTTACACATGGAGTCGTTTGGAGGGCATATATCAGAACAAAAGATCCGGTGACTGTGGTCCATGTGCGGCGAAATTCTTAGAGATGCATGCTGCAGGCCTTGGAGTGGAGGATATGGGTTTGATAACGGACGATGACGTTGACAGGTTAAGGGAGAAATACGCCATGGACTCATACGAAGAGTTTGTCGGGAATCCGGCTATTGCCAACGCTTAGGACAAATGTTGAAGTTTAATGTTGAACTTGACAATTTATGCAAGGGTTATTTGTTGGATTATGTGTTTGATAATGTTTAGGATATGGGTTTATTTGATAATTTATATGCTTATAATATTGTTTACTTTACTATCTATTAATTGGTGTGTCGATTATTTAATTTGCTTATAATTTAGTTTACTTTAATAATTGCGTATCTGTACACCTAATAGCGTTTAGTTGTACACCAATATGCATCAAATGGAAGTACATAAAGACAAATTTGTTTATACTTCACATTATTTTAGTATTTATTAATTGTTGTGTGAATACCTTGTTCCCGGCTAAATATGTACCTGTACACAAATATCCATTTAGGTGTACATCAACTGGGTGTACAACAAGGAAATTTATGGTTTATCCACTAATTTTACAAACTCATTTACAATCTTAACGGTAACCGCATTTAATGTATACGGTCATTTAGTGGGCTTTTTTAATTATTATATATATGCAACATAAAGAACCGTTCCGCTTCACAAATCCTAAACCGCAGTTATTCCATCTCCATAAACAACCGTTTTCATCACAATTGAACCTCACAAATTAACTATGGCACCAAAGAGAGGGCGATGTGATGCGGATATCCGTGATTGTCAATCCCCTCTGATGGCGCTTCCCGACGAACTATTGGAGAAGGTTCTCGCATACAGTTGTAACTCCGTCCAACAAATTTTCACACTGAAGCAAGTTTGCAAACGGTTCCAGGCCTGCACTTTAACCAACAATTTTCTAGCATCGGTTGATCCCGTGGAATTGGAGATGCCTATTCCCGAAGATTTTGATATGCCTTTTATCGCGTATTGGAAATTTCCCAACTTGTTGAGGACGATGTATGACGCACGCAATCCTGGTTTGCTGTTCATGAAGGGGATGCAAGACTACTTCTGCCGTGGAGACAAATGTGGCATAAAACTCATCAAGGAATCTGCAGATATGGGATACGAAACAGGTATTTACATGTATGGCATGTACATGAAAGCAGTGGTCGAAGACCCTGTGGGTTTAGAGTATCTTTCAAAACTAGGCAGGGGGGCAATGAGGAGAATAATTCGGAAAATTATTGATGGAGGTGAGCGTGGTTATGTTATTTTGCCAGAAGAG